TCTCTTCCCCTCCCCCCCCCCAAAAAAAAAGAGATGGTGTATCGTGATTCCATGAACTTTTAGCAAACATTGAATGGGGGAGGGGGTCTGTTGATGATTTAGAGTGCGGTAGAAACAGGACTGTTTTTCTACACATAACTCTTAATTCTTAAACATCATGAGTAAACTAATCTTGACGCTGATTGTAGCTATGAGAATATGCTGCGAATAAGAGCCATGATGGAGAATTGTGATGCTTACCCTAAAAGTCCCTACACATTCCCAATAACAGGAAAACATCAAAACAGCAGTTTAAAAAACTAATACCTTCCAACCTAGTTTAGTACCTACAGCAACAGCAATGTGTCCCTCAGTAGTCACTGTAATCCCTGTTACGGAATAGCTCCCATCAATTTGGATTTCTACACTACGCACAAACTCACCATCTTTGCTGTATATCTCAACCTGCAGGAGTTCTTTCTCTTCTCTAACACCAGCGATGACGACATGTTCACCTGTTCGGTGAAATGTAATGCTCGTGTCGTTATAGTCATTTCTTTGCAGTTTAAATTTGTTAAGATAGTCACCGTGTTCACTGAATATGTAAACCCAGAAATCATCTCTGTACATTACCATAACACGGCCATCAGTAGCGACAGTGACATCCGTTACATAGTTCACTACTCCTTCGCCAAAACTGCGAACAAACTCTCCATTACTGTCATACTCCTCTACCTCCATTCCTCCTGTCAGTACTTTTCCCGTGTCACTCACTGACAGTCCTGTGTACCAGCCCCAGTCCTCCATTAATCCTGTTGTCTTGATAGTTCCTCCTGTCAGTACTTTTCCCGTGTCAGTCACTGACAGTCCTGTGTACTCGCCCACGTCCTCTGTCCTCAGACGAAACCGGTGATACGGGTCACCGGTTTTCGTAAGTTTATAAATCCAGCAATATATAGACAGTGGATAGATGCTCCGACCGGTCAGTTCGGTCAGCACAAAGATGTTGTCGTTCGTGTCTGTGGCGACATCGTGAATATATAACATTGTATTTACATCATCGTTAGGGAGACTGAAATGTTTAACAAACTTGCCGCTGCTGTCAAACACCTTCACACAACCATCCTGCCATTCCCCGACAATGAATTCTCCGCCGGAGTTTGTAGCGATACCCCTCGGACTCTTCAGCTTGTGCTCCTTTTCGCCTTCCTGACCTAATGACCATGGTTTAACACAACAATACTCCATACTTTGTTTAAGTAGTACTTTACTTACTCTTGCGTCATACAATGGACTGATTTTGTTTTCTCCAGTATCAATAGGAGGCCAGATCAAAAAGTGTGCGTCTTCACCAATCGTTCGCGTGACATCGTAGATGACACGATTTACGTGATAGACACTGAAGATAATTTCCCTTCTTTCCTCTTGAGAC